GGGGTCGAGCATTGTCATGCTGCAAAATCACTTTATCGTGTCTCTCGTTGTATTGCAGCCGTTTGTCTTTCAATGCTCGGCTTAAACGCATCAATTGCGTTCGATACCGATTGCCTGTGATTGTTTCAGTCGGTTTTAACAGCTCATAATACATTACGCCGAGCTGGTCCCACCAAATACAGAGCATGACCTTGAAGCCGTGAATATTCGGTTTGGCCGTCGACGTGGAAGCATGGCCGAGAATTCCCCATGATTTTATACGCTTGGGGTTGTCGTAATGAACCCATTTTTCGTCCCCAGTCACAATGCGATGCAGAAATCCCTTCCGTCTTTGCCTTTCAAGCAGCTGTTCACAAGCAAACAAACGCCGTTCAACATCTCTCGGCTTCAACTCGTACGGCACCCAATTTCCTTGCTTCTGAATCATTCCCATGGCTTTGAGGAGTTTTGAAATGGCTTGTTGAGTCACTCCCAATGATCGTGCCAATTCTTCTTGATTTTGACACGAGTCTTGATCAAGTAATGCCTCCAATTCTGCATCTTCGAAAATCTTCTCTCTTCCACCGCTATGCCGGTCTTCGACGTCAAAATCACCGTTCTTAAAGCGTTGAAACCACTCACGACACGTTCTTTCACTAATAGCGGCCTCACCATTAGTATTTGAGAGCATTCGATAAGCCTCAGCCGCAGATTTCTTCATATTGAAGCAGAAAATTAAAACCTCCCGCATATGACGAGAATTTGGCTCGTAAACTGACATTTTCAATCGAGAATAACTTTATGATGCAGACACAAATCGACTAATGTTTCTCTGGGGTTATGTTGACAGATGCCCAAGTTTATTGCATGATGTCTATGATCTATTTATTTCGACCACTACTTACCGCTAAAGCCATCTATAGGAAAACGGTGGAAGCAAAGTTGTACACCTAGTATATTAAAAAAAGATATTGATATATACATATATATAATTATCTATTTATCTAATATAATTATCTATTTATATTAGGTTTTGACGAAGGATAGCGTTACGGTATCTGTTGATGCAGTAGTTTACTACCGTGTTAATAACGCAACCATTTCGATTGCAAATGTGGAGAACGCACATCATAGTACGAGATTACTGGCTCAAACGACCTTAAGGAATACAATGGGGACGCGACCACTTCATGAAATATTGAGTGAGCGGGAAACAATCTCCGGAAACATGCAGGTATAAAAGAAAAGGCACAATTATGCACGCTATTATGTATCCTAAGGAAAAAAAGTGTATTAATCATTTTGAAAAAGAAAAAAATATACACCAACTTCATAAAAAAGTATCGAATATTACATCCTTCTCAATAAAAAACGGATACGAAATAAATGCAATTAGCAAAGTATTTCATTATGCAAGACGCATAAAATGGACTGAAAGTGATTAAACTGGATTATAGTGTAGAAAAAAACTTTGCATGCTCGGGTCATATTAAAACGCAATGTTCTAGAATCAATATATTTCTGTAGCAGAAATTACTTGCAATACCATAGTGTTGAACGGTCCTTGAATATTCTTAGATGCTGAATTATACTGGAATTATACTGGAACTTTATGTATTTCGGCAAATTTCTGGAAAACCCTTGAAATTTCGGGGCTGGCCTGGAATTTATCATTCTTTCATTCTAAAAAAGTCATAACGTAAAAAAAAAGAAATAATGAAAAGAAAAGTTGTATTTAGGCATAAATCTTTCCCTATAGCACATAATATTGCAACAATTTTCAAAGATTACAATATTTTATGAAACATTGCTGCAATATTAATAGTCCTATGTCTGTAAAAATAAAATATTGTTGCAATATTTAGAGAAATGTTGCACACATATTGCTATATTTCAATAATTATTCTAATTTTATTAATCGCTAACATATTGTTCAGCATCATATTTCAAAATACATACAATAAAGTCATGATCAATAAATATTCGGGGGCCTAAAAAGCACATCCAAAAAAGATTGAGAATCTCAAGGAGATTCACTAATTCGAATTGCGTATTCCTTCTTATAGGACTCTTGGACGTTTTCTCCTTACAAGAGGCGTATAATCCTCTCATAAGGAGAAAATGCGGCGGAGTCGTGTACTTATTTACTGAATTACAATATTGCAATATTTTCTACAAAATATTAAAATTACAGTATTTTGCAATATTGATGCAATATTTCCAATAAAATATTAAGATTTCAATGTTGCAGCAATTTTTTAAATGTTACGCACTATTGAAATATTGCTGCAATATTTCGTGCTGTAGGGGTTTCCTTAAAGGTGCAATAAATTATCAATAGAAAATTTGAATTTAATGCCTAAAATAGAACATAGTATAAAAGTCATTTGTGTTGAATGTTCGTTTTTTTGATATTATTTATAAATTAAAAGCTTAATAATAACTCTCAAATTTTAAAAAACGTTAACAATAGAAGGCAAATGAGAGTAACGCGCGGTAATTGGAGCGCAGATACAATTATAAAAACTTGTGACAATTTCTTACATAGATGTATTTAAGAAACTATGTTAAAATTCCGAACGTTTCGGCCAACGTTTGGGGCCATCATCAGCGAAATACAGAAGTTTAGACACGTGGAGATTTCCTTGCAAACTCACAAAACAGATCGAGTGACTGCTCCGATGTAAATTCAAATCCCTTCAATTTGATTCCATGCCAAAGATGAATTGTAAAAATACAAATTCTAAGAGGGATTGCACGTTATTAATTACACTAGTATTTCTAAAATAAAATAAAACACTCATCTGCAGGCAAGAATGCAAAAAAAAACACAAAAGATATCACAATAACTATATATATCCGAACATAAATGTATAATTAGAATAAGATGTTATCGTTATGAAAGTCAGAATCGTTATGAAATCACATACACTGATGTACATTGTATAAACAAGCCAGAGGGGGAAATTAAAGTCTGACTACATGTGAACAGAAATCCGTATTGAAAATATGTTTAATTCTTTATTTTTAACCACTTTGAGAATTTATTTACAAAATATCAAACCTGTATAAATTATTTTGTCTATTTGCCTATTTTTTGTCTAATTTCCCAGGAATACTTATTGTTAGTAATTTTATAAATATAAAATGAATTTTGGATTAAATAGTCTTGTAGATCAAAAACCTAAAGCCTCTTGACATCATAATAGAGTAAAATAAGTTTATCATGTTTATGTGCTTAATAAAGTTAAGAATTGGTCTTTGCTTTTAAAAAAATGGAATCAATGTTGAAATCATTTAAATTAATTTTTCTGAAGGAAAAAAATGGAATTCTCGTTGTTTAACATACGTAAATTCTAATATTAAAGTTTTAATCTTTCGTCTGTGCAAAAAGTGGAATCGAGGTTAAGTACAATTATATTTAAAAACAACTTAAAATATGTCAACTGATACATTTTAGTAAATGGCAGGAAAAAACGTTTTAATTTTTTTTTGACATGTTTCACCAAATTTTGAAATCTAAAAAAATATGGAATTGTAACGTCTGATGCGCCTACAATATAGCACTCCGCCCTTTTACCAAGCGAGCGCGAGCACAGAATATAGCGTATAGACATAGTGGCTGTTTTCCAGCTAGGACACAGAGACGTTACACTGTGTTCCACTGTGTAAAGTCTTGTTGGAACGCTCAGAACTCTAGATTTAGTTTCTGAGAGAACCACCAGAGTGGTAATGTGGCCGTGACAGATTTCCTAACCTCTATAGTCGTTAACTTTAACGCTTAATATCTCGGTTCGCGGGGCCGTTCCAACGTTTTTTCTTACAGATTCTTTCATTTTGTGCAAAAACGCGTCGAATGAGCCTAATTTCATCGAAATCGGAGGTGAGGACCGTATTCTGAATAATTACCTTATAAATTTATGATTAATTATCCTTTTTCTCTTCTATTATACTATACGTACAACTGGTACAATTAGGTTATATTCATGCTAGAAATGAATCCCATAATTTCCACACGCCACATGTTGCCACACGTTAAGTATAAAATTTCTTGAAAAGTTGGTAATTCTGACATACTCTACACGCTCGTACTTAATTTTTTACAGTGTCGAGCAGTGTAACACCACAGTATATACAATAGCGCAACTCTCTGTCGGCACCTTTGATGTCAGTGTTGGCAAAAATGGAGTGCGCATGCGCGAAATCAGTAAGTTCCCCAGTAACGCCATCTAAACTTCTATCTCACTTTCTCTTTAGTTTCCTCTTTCTCTCTCTTTTTTTCTAGCTGCTCTAGTTCATTTGTATGTACAGCAAATTAATTTAAATGTAAAAAACTAAAAGAAATAGATTCATAATTGTAATGGATTGCAAAATAAAAAAAAACACAAAATAAAAATATATAAAATTATACAACAGTTGTATAAGTTAATTATTCTCTTAGGAGAGATCGTTCCTCGTTTCACTTTAATTTTTCCACTTTTTCACTTTTTTTCACTTTTGCACTATTTTTGTTTTTTAGGCACAAACAAGAGTTATTTACAATTTCTCTAACTGACAAGCAGATAACTTCTAACACTGACTTCCTCCAAATTTCAGCTTTCCAAATATAAACTGCCATAATTATGCCAGGTACATAAACAGAAACATTTAAATGGCCCTGACAGAGAAAACAGAAAAAGAAAGAAGTGAGATAGAAGTTTAGATGGCGTTACTGGGGAACTTACTGATTTCGCGCATGCGCACTCCATTTTTGCCAACATAAAATCAGGAGAGTTGCGCTACTGTATATACTGTGGTAACACTGTGTCATAGTTGGAACACTTTGTGTACGACACAGTGTTACACTGTGTCATCTGTGTACGTTGTTGGAAAACACCCAATATGTGCCGACTACAAGCGTGTACAGCTATAGGCAACGCCACTGAAACCGTCGCGATTGAACCCCGCGCACATTGCGCCTGCGCCAAACATTTAAACAATAAAAACGCTAAAAGAATGCACTCTTTTGCATAAACATCGCCGCCACGGGATAGGAAATAGCAAATATAACAGCCGACTTCGAAGCAATTGCCAGGAAAAATTGCAGTCTCACGAAAAGACGAATAAAAACGCGTACCGACAACACAACGCACCTCAATGCAATTCTAAATGCACCCAACGGTCACAGAAGGCCGCAGAATACGAGCGAAATTGTCACGAATAAAATCGAAGCACGCATAATAGAAAGAAAGCCCTAAACAAACATCAGAATTTCACGCGCGCAAAGAGCGAAAAGAACCGAAGTAGCACTGAAACCTACAAGGAAAAAACGCGCAGAGAAGACATGCAAGTTCTGCTGCTCCAGGCTGCAGCACGCGGCAGCTGAGCACACCCAAATGAATATCGCGACCCCCGCAACAAGATAACGCGTTCAAACCTAGTAAAACCTAATCACTAACAAAGTAAATTAAGAGATCGGCACGTTCTAGAAAATTTCGCAATAGCACGTGGACGAAAACATCCCCTTACCGCGAAGGGCCGTGAAGCCAAACATATACAAAGCAGAGCGTTTTAAGACACGCGTCCTGATTTTTCCTCACCATTTCTCCTTACGAACAAGCACGGTAAGTAGTAATGCACATTTGGCTCCCCGGCAACACGGAATCAAGCCCCACCACTTGTACCCTCACCAAGCAGACACCTACCGACATCGAATCGGCCGTCTTCGCCGCGAGAGCGAGCGAGACAGCGAGAGACAGCGCCCGTCCTTCTCGCTCTACAAGCGAGTATTAGAGCGAAAAGGACAGCCGCTCTCTCTCGTTGCCTCGCTTCCTCTAGTATCGTAATCGCTTGTAAGCAACCGAAAATCGAAAATGTACTTTCTTGGCCGCTCGGCGTATTCCTGTACAGGGTATCCCAACATTTTTTGCCAATCACTTTTGTGTTGAGAGTGGATTAAATTGAGTCGAAAAGTCCTCTACCATTTTGCAATTTTCGCAACAGTTAACAAGATATTAATTACTAAAAATTGCAAAATATTGGTCTTGAATAATTTTTTACTCAAATACTATCAACTTTACAGAAAAACTGCGACAGACAAATATTATTTATTTTCTTCTCATAAAGTTTTGAGAATTTTTTCAGAAATTTTTATCAATTTTTTAATACTGCATTTTCTTATTTTTATCAACATGAGAAAATACGGTATTAAAAAATTCTGAAAAAATTTTCAGAACTTTATGAGAAGAAAATAAA